GTGTCTGTCAGAGATGAGCAGTAGGCATGGATGGTCAAGCTTCCACACACACACACACACACACACACACACACACACACACACACACACACACACACACACACACACACACACACAAACACACACACCCACACACAAACACACACACACAAACACACACACACACACACACAAACACACACACACACACAAACACACACGCACACATACACAAACACACACACGCACACACACACACAAACACACACACACATACACACAAATCTATATTGTGTCTACACCTGAATGATTATCAAAGACAAATTTATAACTATTTCCATTTTGAAAATAAAACCAAGAATTACAAATTTAGAATAAGATCTGTTACGAAACAATGTTCCTAGAATATTTTGGTGCGGTATTCGTACTTAAAACACTAAAAATGTTGATATTAAATATCTATCACAATCAGTGTTATCACATATGACAGACTAATGTATTCAGTGTCAACATTATAGCACATAAAAAATATTAAAGGTAAGTGTTCTTTTGAAATCGGTTCCTTAAATGATAATTTAAAATTAAATTTAATAAATAATATTTAATAAGGTCATGAAATCGATGTATTTTTATGATATATAAATATAATAATCATTGAGATCGACTCACTATGATATATAACTTAACGTATATATATATATATATTATATAATATTATATACAATATGCACCAGTCATTGAGATCATTATATCAAGGTTCTTGAGACATAAAGGTATTATTTTTCTCACCTATCTCTCTCAGCAGTACGGAAGCTTTTAATGAGGAGAGGACAGGTGTGTTGGCCGCCCTGCAAGTGAGGTTGTGCGTGATGTGGGCGCGGGTGACAGCATCTAGACGCAAGGTATTGGTGGCGTAGGATGCTGTGGGCGTGATGGTGGGCGTGGTGAGGGAGGGACGACTCTCCTGACTTTCCTCCACCTCTGAGTCCAGCAGTGTTGACCCCGACCACCAGGTGACGTTTGGTAGCGGTTGACCTACACCCAGGGAGGTGGAAGACAAGGTCAGAAATGACAAGCGCCAAATACTGCTGTAACAGAGGAGTTCGGTAGCCGAATGTCAATAAAGAGAAGGTCAGCGCGTGCGTGCTGGCACACACACACACACACACACATACACACACGCACAATGAAAGAGAGTAAATTGGCAAGCAGATAACACATTCTGCCAATATTTTCAAATAACAGAGAGGGACAGAATACTAAAAACTGTAGACAAGTTTTGTCGACAAGTGTTGTTGTAAAAATATTGGAAAAGGCCACAAGAGAAAAATAGATACAACGGAGAACAAAAATTTACAAATTAGTAAACAATTATGTTTTCAATCAACAAGATTATGCATATCGTTTGTATTAAGCTATTACGACAGTTACGGAAAATGCTGAAGAAATAAATGGATGACCTGATTTTAATTATCTAGGCTTTAAGAAGGATTTTAACAGAATTCCACATGAAAGGCTAATGTGGAAACTGAGATACTGGAAGAATAATAGGCCACCTGTTGCAATGTATGAGAGACATTATATTCGAAAGAAAAATGTGAAAAATTTCATCTTGGAGAAATGTCTCCAGTGGGATGCCTCAAGGATCTGTACTTGCTACCAAAATTTTTTAGCTTATATAAATGATTAACCAGGAAGAATATAAGAAAACTGCATTAATATGTTTAAGGATGACTCAAAAACCTTTGGAAAAAATAATGAAAATGAATACAGATTGTGTGACAATATATTATAAATATCATAGAGAGAGAGAGAGGGAAACAGAGAGAGAGAGAGAGAGAGAGAGAGAGAGAGAGAGAGAGAGAGAGAGAGAGAGAGAGAGAGAGAGAGAGAGAGAGAGAGAGAGAGAGAGAGAGAGAGAGAGAAACCTATAGCCATTGGAAGATATTACAAACAAAAGTCTGAGAAACTCATATGGAGTTTTACAGCAGCGGTTACGTGGTGCAGACATCAAAAATAAATTGGGTTAAGATAAAAGACTCGAAATGCAGATGTCCAAGCTGGCTGACAGGAAGAAAAGATAACATGTTGACAACATGTGTCATACAAACATGGGTAAAATAAGGAAAATTTCTTAGTACCAGCAACAGGAATAATTAAGACGGCACAATTCTAAACTAAGCGATAAGTGGAGCCGAAGTGATACTATTTTTTTTTTGCAGAGTGGTAAAGTGGTAAACTAATGGAAATATTTAAAACAGGAGGTTCAAAGTTCAACAACCAGAGGAAATTTAAAAAATATTTATAAGGGACAAATTACTGAAGACGAGTCACCACGGGCATAGCTCTGACAGCGTAGCTACAAACAAGTATTTATAAACATAATTACACAGGAGAGATAAACAGAGCGTACCTCCTGTGGCTCTGCAGGAGAGGGTGAGTGGGTGACCCTCCTGCACCACAGCCACATCCTCTACCAGAGCTCCTCCAGGACTGTAGATGCGGAGCTGCTGGGGCAAATCTGCAACACAGAGAGAAATATATGAGAGCACATGCAACGGACAAAAAGAATTAGACCTTTTGCTTTTAGCAAAAGCTATCTGCTGAGAAAAATAAAATTTTATTCTCCAAAAAAAAAAAAAGAAAGAAAACGAAAGGTTCTTTTGATACTCTGCACTCCCTCCAAGACATTACGAGTAAGAACGAAGTTGAAAAATAAATAAGGCTGTATCTTGTACGTAAAAGACACATATGCAAAAATAAAAGTATTGATTAGGGAAACGTTTCTTTAAGAGTGAAGAAAACATTCGTGACGAAACGCTACCTTAATATATGTCTTGATCATTGCATGCCTGTCTTTTACCTTCAACTTGACGTTATGTGTGTGTGCCTGTGTATATGTGTGCGTGTGTGTGTGTGTGTGTGTGTGTTTGTGTGTGTGCGTGTGTGTGTGCGTGTGTGTGTGTTTGTGTGTGTGCCCGTTCTTCGGTTTAATCAATGACAGTGGTTTATTACTACATATTTAGGGTTTATGGACTATCTGGCTTCGATTGGTGTGAGAATACATGTACTATGAGAACTTCTGGGGCTGAAGGATGAGACAGAGGGATACAGTTGGTCCCATTGATACAACCACATCACAGAAATGCTCTTTACAAAATCATTCTTTTGTAAGTTCTATGACTGAATGGTTAGTGTGTTGGGCCTGCTGCATATACCTCGGTTCGAGTCCCAATCCATTTTTTTTCTGGTTGTTAACTGACTGTCGTTCATTACGAGCTATTGACAGTTATAGAAAAATAATGCTTGACTGGTCTAGATTTCTGGTAGTCTCGCCCACATATACCTTGTCGCTTCCCTGTCATGGGATGACATACATACTACCAAATAATATTATCTTAAACATAGGAGTGGCAGATTTCAAATCGCTCATATGTTGGAATAATGACCGAACTCACATTCAGTAATTCATAAAAAGAAAACCATTATAGATACTACAAAATTCATAAGAGTGCAAAGGTCTTAGAATTAGTGAATCTGTGACTTCCTAAACGCATATCCAAATCACTGGATATTTTTATTCCCTGCCCGATAAAGTGGATGCAAGTGGATGAATAAAACACATAAGCAACACTTGGGTATTGTGTGTATTTGAGAAACTGATCACCTCAAACGTCTTCACATCTTCTATTGTCTCCAGTAAATATGTGATTTAACAAAGCTACTGGTTGACAAATTGCTTCCACAATAAAGATAGCCGAGAGTTGCTCAAGTGTCTTATTCATCTATATTTAAGTTAGTTTTCATCGTCGTGGCTGGTCTCTTCATTAATTCCGTGACAGTGGACGTCGACTCGGTGGAAACACTGTGCTGTGCAGGAGCACAGTCGTGTTTCCGGACCTTAGCCCACCTAATTAGCAATAGTCCACTATTTTCTATTTTCCGCAACCAACGGGCGAAACGTACGTAATAAAATTCCCTAAGTGTTGCATACTTTATTTTTGCAGTTTGTCGATATTGCCATATAGCATTATTTTTATATGGAAGCACTTCAACAGTAAAGGTCATATAGAGCCAGGGGAATAAAGGTAAGGACGGTTGATCCAAGGAATAGTAGGGGAGGATAGCTCCAATATTCCGGATCAAACGTTCATGGGTGTCAAGGTACCTCTTTCCCTCTCACTTGTAGGGGAGCCTACCAATAAAAATGTTAAGATAACTTCGTAGAAAATACCTTATCAACTGGTAACTAACACACATATAAAAAAATGTAGGGTCTATCGACAATTACCTTTAGCAACTGGTTACTAAGACACACACACACACACACACACACACAACACACACACACACACACACACACACATGCGCATACACACACACAAGAACATAAGGAAAAAGCACAACTACAGTAGGTCTAAATCCATGCAAGTCACTCAGCACGAGGCGTAGTGTAGACTCGATCTCCGTCCAGTAACAGCGGCCCAGTCTGTGACCAGCCAGGCTGTTGGTGGAACAGTATTCTATTTCACGAACAATTCGCATGAAAAGACACAGCTGGAGAAAGGAGGTCCAAGGCACAGAAGATGCTTGACAAAACGATATACAACCTGAAAGACTTGAGAAGACTAAGCAAGAAAACCTCTCAGACGAAGACACTAAGAAAACAACTCGGTAAATGGAACACGAAACAGCGACCATAAGCACAAACATTCCACACTTCCAGGCGTCAGAAGAGTCCAGGCGCCATAACACCTGTCAAAATTGAGAAGGGAGAGATGAAGCAGGATGTAGCAGAGGCGGAGAGACGTGAGCGTAACTCTGAGGAAGTAGTAGAGGTGTGGCCACAGCCACACCTCTGATGATCATCCTATTATCTGGTGAATACAGTAACACTCCCACCACCAGCACCTGGCCGAATACAACACTTGATATAAACAAGGCAGAATGAGGATAACCAAGAAAATAAGTTGTAAGAAGGAATTTCGTCTCTCCCTCTTTATTTCTCTCTCTCTCTCTCTCTCTCTCTCTCTCTCTCTCTCGCACACACACACACACACACTTGGAGAGCAACAAAATACTGCATATAAAATAGCTTCGTTTCAGCTCAGCAAATTCCTGCATATAAATTGTTTAAGCCACCACAAGAGTCACAGAACTCCTACAGAAAAGAAACGGAAAGGCAGATTGCTTTTACCTGGATTTCAAAAAAAAAAAAAAAATCCTTATTATACAGTTGATCATGAATGACTAATATGGAAGGTACCAAATTTACCTGGAATAAAATACGGGCTCAAACTCATAAAACCAGGCAATCCCAACCCAGTGAAACCCATCGTACGTTCCCTGGAATCAACCGCTTAACTTCCCGAGTCAATCAAACCTGACTGGCTCCACGCTCCAGGCATTGTATGACTCTTGAGGCTTTAGCGCTTTCTTATATTATTTTTTAAAACTCTGGCATCACCAACTTATGAACTTGAATAAATAGTTTAGAAACCCGTCGGGTTTCATAAATGGGACACTTGTATCTTTATTCTGGGTATCTTTATTCTGGGTATCTTTATTCAGGGCATCTTTATTCTGGGTATCTTTATTCTGGGTATCTTTATTCTGGGTATCTTTATTTTGGTTATCTTTATTCTGGGTATCTTTATTCTAGGTATCTTTATTCTGGGTATCTTTATTCTGGGTATTTTTATTCTGGAAACGTTTCGCTAGCTAGTGGCTTCTCCAATCCAAGGCAGAAAAAGGTGAAAGATGAGAAGGAATCTGATGTGGTCACAAGTGTCTCATTTATCAACAAACTGCCAGTCCTACTGAGAGGTGTCCTTAAGGCTGGCGAAGGGCTCCTATTCCTTTCTTTCATGGATCAGCTCTGACTGCCACCCATTTCCTAGGCGCTGCACGATCCATACAGGACTGGTGCCTCCAGATGTATATAAAAAATAATGCTCTCTCAGAATGGCCAGTAAATATGTTGACGTCTATGGTTGGGAGAGTGTCTCACGCGGGCGGTAAAATTATTGTGATAGTCTAGGTTATCAAACCCAAATTGTTTTGACTGAACCTAAAACGTTGCGGCATATAACCATTTTTATCAGAATTTGAGTATTTTGTGTGTCTAGATAGATAATTCAGTGGGTGCCATTCTGTCGCTGTTGAGGAAATTGAAAAATCCAAAATAGCTACTAAAGCAGTAAAAGAAGACATATCAGCATGAATGTTGAGTTTTTGAAGTAAATAAGATCTGTATGTTATTTTTTTCCACATACTTAATGGAATGTTGATGTGAATGTGTGGTGTGAATATAATGCAGAGAATCCGTAGTTTGGAAATTAGGAGGAGGTGTGGGATTACCAAAACTATTATTCAGAGGGCTGAGGAGGGGTTATTGAGATGGTTTGGATATGTAGAGTGGATGGAACAAAATAGAATGACTTCAAGAGTGTATAAATCAGTAGTGGAGGGAAGGCGGGGTAGGGGTTGGCCTAGGAAAGGTTGGAGGGAGGGGGTAAAGGAGATTTTGTGTGCGAGGGGCTTGGACTTGCAGCTAGCGTGAGTGAGCGTGTTAGATAGGAGCGAATGGAGGCAAATGGTTTTTAGGACTTGACGTGCTGTTGGAGTGTAAGCAAGGTAACATTTATGAAGAGATTCAGGGAAACCGGCAGGCTGGACTCGATTTCTGGAGATGGGAAGTAGAGTGTCTACACTCTGAAGGAGGGATGTTAATGTTGCAGTTTCATAACTGTGGTGTAGAAACACCCCTCTGGTAAGACAGTGATGGAGTGAATGACGATGAAAGATTTTCTTTCTCGGGCCACCCTGCCTTGGTGGGAAACGGCCGATGTGTTTATATATATATATATATATATATAATATATATATATATATATATATATATATATATATATATATATATATATATATATATATATTATATATATATATATATGGATATGGTCCAGAAACTGGCTTCTCGAATTCAACCCTGCCAAATGCAAAGTCATGAAGATTGGAGAGGGGCAAAGAAGACCGCAGACAGAGTATAGGCTAGGTGTGTGTGTGTACTTGTGTTATGTGGTTGCAGTGTGGGGGTGTATGTTATGTGTATGGTCTTTGTGTGTCTGGGTTGTGTGTATGTATGTGTGGTTTTGTTGTGTGTGTGTTTGTGTGTTTGTGTGTGTGTGTGTATGTGTGTTTGTGTGTGTCGTAGTGTGTGTTTGTGTTTGGTGTGTTGTTTGTTGTTGTGTGTGTGTGTGTGTGTGTGTGTGTGTGTGTGTGTGTGTGTGTGTGTGTGTGTGTGTGTGTGTGTGTGTGTGTGTGTGTGTGTGTGTGTGTGTGTATGTGTGTGTGTGTGTGTTGTGTGTGTGTGTGTGTGTGTATGTGTGTGTGTGTGTGTGTGTGTGTGTGTGTTGTGTGTGTGTGTGTGTGTGTGTGTAGTGTGTGTGTGTGTGTGTGTGTGTGTGTGTGTGTATGTGTGTGTGTGTGTGTGTGTGTGTGTTGTGTGTGTGTGTGTGT